TCCAAGTGCCTTCCAGAAGCCAGGAGAAGACACCATCACCAACTGCAGAGGTCTTCTGTCCCACACCGTGTGTGGTGGCCATCACCCAACAAGGCGACCAAGGGAAAGCCGTCCCATGCCAGCACCTGCATTGGGGCCTGCCTGTCCTCTCCATTTCTCCACGACGGGCACCGTGCTCGGCGAGTCACACAGCACGGCTGGCAGAGCCGCCTGACTCATTTTTCTCTACTCCTCCAGGTGATGTGTTTGGAGGAACACGCTGCTCTGACAAGGTGACACATCCTGAGAAAGCCCACACTGCTGAAGACATCTCCCTGCTCCTTCTACCAGGAGCACCCAGCGCAATAGCAGTTCGCAGCTCTTTTTCATTCCTCCCCAGTCAAACAAGCCCCAAGCATTTCTGTCTGATTTTCCTGAAGGATATAGAATAGATGTCAATCAGGAGAGAGGAGCCCTGAAATCCCACGGTTTTGAAGGCATCTCATAAACACGCAGATGTCAGTAGAGGCGCTAGGAAAGGAAGGGCAATTGCTAACGGAGAAACTGCATTAATAACTTAGTGTGACTGCTGTTCAGCTGCAGCAGCGTTAGCAGCCTATGTTGGATTCTTCTTTTGGCAGAGGCAACTGCCCCTGAATCAGCTGGTTTGGCTCAATTTGTTGTGGAATAATTAAGTTCAGTCCATTCTATTGCATAATCTGGAGTTTCTTCAACCTGCTTCAGCAGCAAAGTACTGAATCGCATACAGCTCTGGGAGGGGTTACGAACATGAAACTAAGTCAGTGCAAATCTACCAAGAGCCTAAGCAATAAGAGGATGAAGTCAGAAGTGTCCAGGAGGCAGGGGAAGGGCGGCAGCCTGTCTCTGCTTTGATGCCTCTGACTCACGGAGGAAAGAAAGGAGAAAACCATGGCACTACACACATTTAAAACGTCCCAGGAGCCAACACAGTTCCCATCTGCAGAGCAACTCTCGTAAACATTGAGGATTTACCCATCAAAATCAAGTTTGGAAATGTGCCTGGATGTTTCCAAGGAATCTGAGGAAAGATGTTTCTGTTTCTGGACAAGCAAAACTATCACATTTCCTGGCTGCAGCGAGGATCTCTAAACTGAAAAATGTGCAAATGTGTTTTACCAGGAGTGGGCACATCCCAAACAAAGGTAATCAGAGAAACTCTTTTCAGCACTGCTCTATTTACATGTGCTACAGACTGAAGAGGAAAATCTTTTCCCCAGTTGCCCTGGCGTATAACCGTAAACGCCCTTGCTAAGTCCCCTTCCAGCTTTGGGAAGTGAGACCAAAGCGCCTATTGGCACCTATTGGCTTTACTCACGCTGCGAACCTGGCCGGTGCGTTGGAGGAGCAACAGGAGACAGTGCTGGGTCAAGATGAACCTCTTTCAGCTATAAAAAAACATCATACCTCCCTCCCTTTCTCCTCAGACGGTGATAACACCATGTGAATCCTTGTCCCAGGCACGCTAAAGGACTGTTGCTTGCTCACAGAGGTCCACCAACTCCCAGCCCACCTATTCACAGCTGGTGAGTGGGTCGTACTCAAAGCCAGCTTTACTCTCCGAGTTAATAAAATAACAGATGCCATTAAGAGCAGTTCTTTCAGCCTCACGTTGCAGGTCGCCCCAGGGAGAGCAGAGGGAAGCCCGGACGAGAGTGAGGAAAATCTCCATCACCACCAGGGCAAACCTGCAAGGGATATTTCTGGCATGGGAAAGTGTCCTCCAGAGCCAGATTCAGACTGGGGTCTCTCTTGGACAGTGGAGCAGCTGCCGATTGAGCTGAGATTTCTGTCTCACAAACAGCTCCTTGAATTGCTCTTGGCATTGACTTTTTCCTGTTCAGCTAATTAAAAATCTGTCTTTGAGTCGTAAGCCCCCATTAGTAATAATTTGCTTTGCACTTCTCCAGTGATTTATGGCTGAGATATCAAAGTGCTTTAGAAACATTAATTAATCCTTCTAATACCCAAGGGACTGATCCACTCTCCGCAATGCACCATTGGTGGAGTAAACGTAGGAAATCCTCAGGGTTTACTCCAAACTGCAGGCAGGGAGAGGGGAAGGGAGCAGCATCCAACCCAACGAGCTCGTTTCGGCTGCCTGCCTGCAACCAGAGAGACGTGCAGTCAAAATAACAGCGCTGAACGTGCAGCCACAAGTGAACCCAAGGCAAATCCAAGTTCCCTGCTCTCCAGCAGTAGTTCTTGCTGCTGTCCCTGTCTGTCCAGGGTGGGAAGGGGACCTGCGACACCCCAGCTCTGCTCTGCAGATCATGCCAGGAAAGGCATGTGTGGGCCAAAACCATCTTCACCCAGAGCCCTGCCAGTGGCAGCGGCAGGGTCGTTAATCAAAGCGACACTCCTTGTGCTAACACACGTATTTCCCTTGCCATCCTGCCCGTTTCTCCAATCTGTTTCTTGTACAAAGTCACTTTTTCCCAGCTTTCAGTGCAGACCCAAGGCTGTCTCCCACACCTGAGATGCAGCTCCAGTCCTTGCCAGCGATAAGGATCGTTACCTCCATTGGCTTCAGAGAGGATTTCATCCTTGCGCACGCCAATGAGCTATTTGCCACCTGGTGTTGTCCCCATACTTTGAACGTTGTCATCAGAGGACTGCGGGGTGGAGCTGGCCATGCAGGGTGGGGAAAGCTATAAAGGTCCCAGCACAGACTGCCAGAGACAGGATCTCTGAATGCCTGAGGAGTGTCCCGTTTCTTCTTTGCTGTCCCCAGTAAAGCATCACCTTGACCATGAAGGCAACTGGTGTTTTCCTGCTCCTCTCCCTGGCACTCTGCTGCTACCAAGGTGAGTGCAACGTTTTGCTTAGGAGCCATTTTCCTCTCCTTGCTAAAGCTGCCAGGTCTGCCGGGTGGGAAGGTGAGCCTGGGAACAGGCCAGCTGGTGCTGGGACCTTGCTCTGGCGCTGGGACCTTGCTCCGGCGCTGGGACCTTGCTCCAGCCCTGGGCAGGGAAAGCGAGCGATCCCCAGAGAGTGCTGCAACGGCCAACATGCATTAAACCAGTGGTCTGTGAGCAAGCCTAAAGCAAAGGCTTTAAAGGGGTGCCTGGCACCTGCTCCCAAAAATGAACAAACCTCGTCTGACACTCTCCCTTCAGGGCTGGGATTCAGCCTGGAGCTGGTGATTTCTAGCATGCTGCAATTATTTTAGAGCGAATAGGTGCTATTCTGGTTTTAAAAAAGCAAACCCAAGAAGTCAGGAAACACATCTGTGCAAGGGAAAATGCAGGTCTCACAACAAAAGTCAATATTTAAGCCAACTGTGTTTTCAAAATCCCATATGGTGCAGAGGGATGAGAACATGAGCTGTTGCTGCTCTTCAGGTCCTGCTCACCAGGGATTTCTGCGTTCGTGGGTTCATTCAGAACAGGAGGGTGCTTCTGAAACAAGTCCTCCGTTACCCTATTCGCTGCGCGGCGGTTGCCATTGCAGAGCTGTCTGAGCACAAAATCTGGACTCATTTCAGATGAACTGAACATGTAGTGAGCTACAGCTCCTGGGTCTGAACCAGTGCTAGTCCAGAGTAAAATCCCTGAAACCCTAAACAGTGTGGCCATCGGGTCCTCAGCACCAAACCGTTTCACTCCACAGACCCACTGCTATTGGGCCACACTGGTTGTTAATGTAGATGTAGCCTAAATTCTCCATGTAGATGACTTCTGGATCAACCCACGGTCATCTTCTCAGTACTGCCTTTTGCTGAACAAATTCAGGTTGTTTTCCAAAACACACATGTTCCACCCACATGATCCCAGCTGTCAGTTCAGCACCAGCTTCTCCGTAGAGAAGCCCACCAAAGTCACAGCGTGCTCCCACCAGCTTTGGTGTGAGACCTCAAGGTCCACCCATTCCTCCTTCTAGTAGAGACCTTCAGCAACTTGTCTTTTGCTCTGTTTCCTTGTGGTACAAACCCACTGACAGCAGAAAAATCACCCTGGATTTATTCCAGCACCGGTTCGGCATCAGCAGGAGTTTCTCAGTTACCCATGAACGCGTGATAAGAGATAACGAAAGCCACCTTTGCTCCCTGGCAGCTGGCAGGGAAAGTCATTAGAAGTGCACCTGGCCTTGACAGGGCCTTGCACCATCACGGTATTTCTGCCGGGGAAAGAGGCAGATGCAGCAGGGAGGGACCTGGCTGCAAAATGGGGGAGGTCCAAGGGAAGAAATTGTTTGCTGGGACAAAGGTGTCTGAGCAAAGACATACGGTCCTCAGGCTAAAGCATCTTCAGTAGGTCTCCCCTGAAAGCAGCCCGAGTGATGGGTGCTAAGGCATCTTCTCTCTCTCCACTCTTTCTTTAGGAAACGCTGAGACAGATGGAGCTGCTGGCAAAGGAACGGAGGTGAAGGCTCCTGGTTTTTGTGTAGCACAAGGGTGTGCCCAGCTTTGGTGAGACAGCACCAACCTATACACTGGGGAGCCCAAGTTGCTAAATACGGTGCAGTACAGTGAGCTGCTGGGTTGGCAGCCCAAGGATGCCAGTGCCTGGGAACCTCCTTCCACCTGCTGTGCCACAGCAAAATCCCATTGACGGTACTGGTTTCCCACTGCATTTCCCCACACTCAGTGGAGGAAAACTATTAATAAAGAGCTGAATATTGCTGTTACCTGCCAAGAAGATCAGAGCTCCCCTTAGTCTCTAGCTTGCAAGTGTGAGGGCAGGTATCAGCGTGGCATAAAAATAAGAACCGGGAAGAATGTGATCAGGCACTGCCCACGGAGCATTACTCAATATTGTCACTCCTGAGGGTGTGCAGGAGTGCCAGGTGAAGGTCAGCTGGCCAAGGGACAGCATGGTGACAGGCAGTCCCAGTGTTTCTGAGAGTTCATAGCAGAGCTCTGAGCAAGCTGGGATGGGTTATCAAGATGTACAAATACGCACCTCCCTGTGAATGCAAAGCACCTTTGGTAAACTGAAAGCATGTTTAATATTTTCAGCATTACCCTTTTGCGTCTCCAGGCAGCTTGTGTCAACTATGACTTAAGAAAAGGTTGTACGAAGATCTTCGACCCCGTCTGTGGCACGGACAACCTCCTATACGGCAATGAGTGTCTGTTGTGCTTTCAGAACCTGTGAGTATCTGCAACCTCCTGCAAGTCGAAATATCACACAGACGAGGGCTACTACATATGTCTGGGATTTCCTAGAAAGCAAGCTGTTTGCATGCAGCTGGGTGGAGCGTGGGCAGTGAGCCCGGCACATCTGGCATGAATCTGGCCTCCCGCGCCGATGCTGCACCTGCTGCTCCGAGCACGTGGACTCCAGCTGCAAAATAGGTCCCTTGTGCGCGGCTCGCAGCACACGAGCTGCCCGCAGGCAGGGACTGCACGGTCAAAATCTCCCCATTCCTGCAGCTGCAGCGATTGCTCGGACTGCGCTGGCGAGTGTCCAGGAACGCAGACAAATAGCAAAGTCCTCAAAGTCTGCCCAGATCTAGCATGCAGGCAGAAAAATATTTTTCCAGGTGACCTCAGATGTGTGGTGGCTGAGGAAAAACTATGGGTTTTCACCCCAGGAATTTATAGCTGAGCTCTGCTTTCTGTCTTCTCTGCCTGCGAAAGGATACAATTTGCTCCGAGTATTTTTAAGAATGAGACTTATATTTAATCTGTGCTGGTGCCAGATTGCGCTGTCTTAGCAGAAGGCCAGGTCCAAATGCTAGCGACGTCTCTGGCAAGACTTGATTCATTTCATCTGGCTTGGGCCCTAGGTAATTTTGAGTATATTTATATATTGGAAACGCTCTGTGTCAGACAAGTGAAGGAATTACTTCCAACTCAATGCTATTAGGTGGTTCGAAAATCTCTATTGGGAAGATTGAGTCTTATCCATAGGCAGGTGCCCCAGCCCGTGGGGCTAAGGGAGCTTCACCCTTGACCTGACCTGGTGGAGGCAGGGATTTTTGGTGATCAGGCTCACACGCCCATCTGCCATCAGCAGAGGCATCTCTAACAGAAGCTCAAATTCCAGCTTTTCTATCCAGAGATGAACGGGCTTGTGGAGCCAAATTCTGTTTTTAGGAGCACTGCCTCCCAGCTAACTCTGCAGTAACAAGGAACAGAGTCCAGATCACCAGGAAAAACAGCCTCAATAAGAATTGTTGGTCTGGTTGCCGCCTCTTTCCTCCATTAACCCAGGCTGCTGCCCCATATTCTGCTCCTGGCCTGCTCAAATGCTGGTTTTACATTTTAAGGCTGAGGACGATGCAGTCAAGCAGGGACATGCTGAGCGGGAGCTCCTGAAGGAAGGCGCCACGGTTAATGACCCGGCGCGGCACGGCAGGCGGTAATGACCACGCTGGAAGCCAGCAGCCCAGCACCAGCTGTCGGCTGTATTGTGCAACAGATGGGGGTGGGAGGTTCTTCAGACACAACATCATTAGGGCTTTGGCCATGAACCAGGAGCGCAAGGCAAAAAGAGAGCAAGGAAGGCTTCAAAGCCAGCTACGCAGGGAGCAAAGTGGCATCGAGGATGCTATGATCCCCCGGAGCAGAGCACAGCTTCAGAGGGGAGGGAAGACCTCAGTCATCACAAGAAGGAAAGTTTGGGGTACAAAAAAGAAAAGGACTGAGTCGGTGGTGTAGCCAGAGCCGGCCAGGAGTCAGGGGAGGGAAGGGATGGCCAAGTAGCGGGTGCTGGCACCCACCTTGCATTGACAGGCACTACATCCCTGGCCTTCTTCAAACTCCCGTTTGTGCAAGCTCTCAGCAGCTGCAGCTGGAAATGTGCTGCTCCTGCAGCTCCAAGCCCTGAGCCTTGCAGCTCCCCTGTAACGCTCCCAAGCAAAGCAGTTTTGGGGTTAGGAACAACAGCCATTCGGTCTCCCGGTCAGGGCGATCTGGGCCAGGCACCAGGACTTTGAAGCTGCCTGGTGCCAAATGTCTCAAGGGAGAGATAAACGGAGCGTCCTCATCTATAAAGCTTTGGGCCATGGGGAAAAGCCAGGTAGCCGAGAGGCAGGATGAAGTGTCATTTGCAGTTTTGTGTGTGCAACCAGTCTGACAAGAGCTGGAGGCCTGCAAGGAGTCTGGGAATAAATACAGCAAGAGCATCTGGCAGGTCCCTGTGGCAGCGGCGTCTCACTTGTCGCCTTTGGTCACTTCGCTGTGACCAGCGTGCAAAATGCTTTTTGCAAAACAGCTTGAAAATCATTTTACCGGCATTTCTCTATGCACCTGAGAAATGGGTTTGTCTTTCCAAACAGGAGAACATCATAAATCCACGTGAAAATGGAACAATTCCGAGCAATTACGTCCACTACTGGGCAAAAAATAATAACAATAATTTTTTGCAGGTGCCTTTTTAGTATTTTCCTCGCTTTTGCCGCAGAAGCAATCAGGAGGGGAGGCTGGGAGCAGGCCCAAGCCCAAGCAAGACATAATGGCAGGCATTTGTCTGTAAAAAGCCACAAAACAAAGTCATAACCTTTATCGTCTGCAGGCAGACAGGCATCAGAGGTGTCTTAGTGCTGTCCTACAGCACGGAGGTGAATTATTCTGCCAGGAGGTGTCAGGAAGCGCCAGCTCTTGAGCTTATTGGAATTAATTAACACATGTCCATGGTAACCCTGAACTCCCTGTCAAGAATATGTGGCCTTACTTACTGTGAATAACACTTAAACGATGATTTAAGCAGTATTTTCCTTTCTTTCTTTCTTTGTCTTCTGAGCCAGGCTCTTCTGTGTATCAGGAACCTGAAGGCATCCTCTAGCATTTCTAACCTCTCTTCCAGGCAAAGAAAGACTAACGTGCGCATAAAGAACAGGGGAATGTGCCAAAAGCCCTCTCCACGCTCTGACTCCGCTCAAAACTAAGAGGAGCAACCGTTCCAGAGAACACAGCACAAAGCTTTGCCTTACCTGTTACGAACTCCTAATAAAATGGAAGCATTGCCACGTCTGGCACTGGGATTTCTTACACACACAGCAGAGCCCTTTCCCTGACATTTAAAATACCTTCCTGAAAAATATGGTTTGTTTTTGTCATGTCCATAAAGAGCTGTGAGCAAATTACTGACAGAGCCCCAGGGACAAGGCAGGGACATGCCTGAGGAGAGAGCCAGGCTCTGGCATAACAAGGAGGCTCTTTTTTGCATCAATAATTTTGTCTTCCTTCCCTAAACTTCTAGCATCCAAGCAATAGGAGATTTTAGCATGCTCATTAATTGCAATTACATTTGTTAAATACGGGGCATTAAAGCCCTTACTCGAGGGCTTTTGCCAGGAGGAAGAGTCCAACAAGTCATCTCCACGCTGCCCTGCTCCAGCCTTGCCCATATGGCAGTGCCCCATCACAGGGTCCCTGTGCACCGAGAGCCACCAGCCTCAGACTTGCCCTGCGGGTCACAGCTACCCAGTGCCTCGGAAAACCAAAAAGGCTCCATTTTTCCAGGCAAAAATCTTCCCCCCCCCCCGCCCCGCCGTGGCCTTGCGGAGCTTTGCTGCTGGCACCCATGCCCCGGCCCCAGGGCCGGCGGGGGCCGGGGTGCGGCTCCCGGCGCAGCGGGACGCGGAGTGCGGGGGTCCCTGGATGGAGAAAGGGAGGAGGTTTCGGCACTGGAGGCCGCTGTTGCTCCGCCGGCGCCGGGGCCGATGCC